GAACAGAGAAGAGAAGAGAAGCGAAGAGAAAGAGAAGAGAAGAGAAGAGAGAAGAGAAGAGAAGAGAAGAGAAGAGAAGAGAAGAGTTGTCGTGGGGATTCAAACCAAACTTAAGCGTGTGACAATGCCGTGGGCTGATGAGAGATGCCGGGGATACCCGAGGGAGCGGCCCCCCACGGGATGCTCCACTCGGGGAAATACTTAAACAGGGAGCGCTGCTTCACTTGCGTTTCACAGCACCCAAACCTCACCGCAGTAAATAGACACTGCGATATCTGTGGGGATGTTTTAGGGCAAAGGGACCCGGAGAGGATTTAAGCCAGTAATGTTGAAGGATCCCTGATATATTGCATCATCTGGAGCTTCCTGAGCCTGTAACGCAAGCAGGAGGAGATCACCGCTCTTTGGAACAACCCTTCAAGTCCTTGCTCCAGCATCTGTCTAAAAAACAGCCTTTCTGAGAGTATATTAATCGAGAGGTGCACGTGCGCAGAGCCCATGTTCATAAAGTTGATCAAAGCGATATGCACGAAGTGTTTTTAAGCAGGTACCGGTGACTTCTGCCTTCCCGGATAAGGCTGTATCAACTCATTAGTGCACCGCTTTTTCCCTTCCTCCCTAAGACCCTCCCAAACGTCTTTGGCAAGAGATATTTTCATGAAAAACCTGCACTGCTATTTTCAGGATTTCGCTCGAAGGCCCCAAACATTTACCGAAGAGGTTTGCCTGTTTTTTTCCAGTTCCAATGCCGTAAGCTTTGCGCTTCCAGTTATGCAACAGATACACGGTGTTAATAAAACGCTCGACCAAACGGGAGAACACGAACCAAAATCTCAGCTAATTTCTTCACTTAAATAAACCAAGCAGTGGCGAGGACGACACGACGAATGAGCGTCCCTTCAACGTTCACGGGGTGGGCGCTGAGAGCCCTTTGCACGCAGAGCTATGCAACGTCCGCACTTCGCTCCGCTCCACGTCACCTGAGTCACCCCGCTGTGACTCACACGGTCGGACACGGAGGCGGCGACGGTGGTTTCCCAGCTTTGCCCCTCGGGATGGAGAAAAGAGAGGCGCTGGGTTTATAGCCAGAGCACTAAGCAAGCCAGGCAGTGCACGAACGCACCGGGCTCCGTAGAAGACGTAAGTCAGAGCGACCGCGCCTCTCGCTTGCGGCGTTGCACCTTGTGATGCGCAGCCTTGCAAGCCAGGGCTGGCTGCTTGTCAAAAGTGGATAAAAAACCCCAGTCGCTGCTCAAAAATAGGCACGGACTCGGGGTTTGGATTTTTTCTTTTTTTTTT